TGTTCCTGTGTCTTCTGGGTAAGTGGGTTTGCTTTTGGTGGGTTTTGTCTATGCGGATACCTCTATGTTCTTATGAGATTTCCAAGTTGGATTGGGTGGGATTTCTGCTCACTGAATTGTTTCAGAGTTCAGATTTCTTTGGATTCTTTTCTTTATGTTTTTAAATGTTCCTTTGATTCTCTGGTGGGTTCTTTCTCTATGTGTATGTTCCTTGTTCTTGCGAGCCCAGCAGAGTTCCTGTTTCAGAGATGCTCAGGTGTTTGATTTTTATAACTATTTATGCTTGTTCGTTGTCCTTCTGAGGAGAGTGGCTATTTTGGAAGTTTTCGTTTTCAAAGATCTAGAAGCGTAGTTCAGGTGTTTGATTTTATATCCCTCTGTATCTCTATGTTTGTATACGATTTCAAGCCTTGAATATGTTGCCCTTTGTCAGTTTTTGTGAAACTGAACTTCTTGGATTTTGGAAGGATGTTTTGGTTCTCAGCCTTCTTCGGATTTCTTTTTTCTTCTTTAGTTTCCTTTGATTTCTCAGGTACCAAGAAATTGAATAGCAGTTAATGATTTTCTCTATGTTTTTCTCCCATGTGTTTGCAGGCTCTTCTTGTCAAAATCTCTTATTTTAAAGTGTGAAAAGTTGAAAAAAGAAAATGAATCACTGCGGTTACCAGATGAATTCCTTGACAAGCTGGGAGGAGAGGAGGATGGAACCTGTGGTCTGTCCCAAACCTCGTCGGTTGAGTATCCTAAACATCTCCACTAATGATCATATCAGAGCCCTTAAACGGCCAATCAAGTAATTTCTTTGTCCATTCTTGCCAATTTTTCAATTTATTTTTAAGCCTTTTCTCCATAAAAATTCTGATTTTCGTTTTTATTGTTGTAAAACAGCAACCAGTCCGAGATCGAAGATTTAGGAGCTGAGGCGGAGCTTATGAATATAGTTTTCTATAAGGTTATTTTTGTACAATTTTCTCCTTGAATCTTCCTATCTTAACTAGTATTTTCCAGGGAACAAAGTATACCCCTCCCCTTCCCTGCACCCCAAAAACGTGTTTTTTCACTCCTTGGCTTGACCTGGAAATGATTATATCTGCATGATCATTTGGATATTTGAATATGAACAATAAAGATTGTGTTTGTCATGTTATTTTTATTGAAAACTCTAATAACTAATAGCTCAAATCTTTAGCTAAGATTTGTTGGACCAACCCTACCCAAGCATCTAACTATGATTCAACTCAATTACAGGAAAGTTACACAGGAAGATTTGAGAGCCAAATGGCTTCTTCACCACCGTTTTTCTGTGGATCTCCACCTAGCAGGGCCTCAAATCCTGTAATCCAAGACGAACAATTTGGTAATGAAAGTTTTAACCCGTTTTCTTTGGCACCCGCTTCACCCTCCTCTTCTTCAGCTCGAGGTTGTGCTCGAATGAAATTTGGTCCCAAACCAGCAGCTGTGAGGATAGAAGGTTTTGATTGCCTGAACAGGGATAGGAGCAATTGCAGTATATCTGCTGTAGCATAAATAAACCCTTTTTTCCCCAGAATAATAAAGCAAAGAAAAAACAATTAGAATATAAAGAAAGGTCACTGCAGGTGGAGGAGTTCTGGGAGAGTGAAGCTAATTCTAATTTAAGTATTCTTAGAGTATTTTATGTATATATGTGGTCTCTGGAAGTTATTGTTCGTGAGTAAGAAGATGTCAGGGATGATTAGAGATTTTTGAAGAAATGGTTTTGTTTTCCTTTTGAAGAATAAAGGAAGACACAAAATGGAGATTGGAGAGAGACTAAAGTGGTAAAGCAGAGTCTTCCATCTTCACCTCCCTTGTTAGGTCTTAGTGGGTCATAGGGATTGAACGAGTTTGTAAGTGTTTGTTGCTCAGAAACTCAGATCCTCCATATGTAATTTTGGCATTTCGGCTCGGAGGAAATTGAGGATTATTATTATTTGGAGTCATGTAAATTATTCTCACTTTTTTTTTTTTTGGTTGCCGGTGCACTATTTGGAGGTGTTACCTGTTGAATAAATTCAAGTCGTTGTGCTGTATGTACATAAACTATTCTGTAAAGCAAGGCTATTATTTATATATTTTTATGTTGTCCTAAGGTAAAAATTATTATTTTGGGAGGATTTGAGGAAGTTTCAAACCACCTTGTATGGTCAATTCTATGTATTTGTCCTGTTTTTCAAACATTATGTTGATCAGTTTGGATGTGACTGCCTATTGATTCATGCGTGGGGAAATCAAACATAGGTGATAAAATTTTTTTTACGTATTACTCCTTCCAATACGCGATCTGGTTAAATATTGTTCCAAATATGAGATTTTAGTCAATTTTCTGTGTCAATTTATAACTTATTTCTCAAACTATGCCCACCAAGTGCACATAGTAAAATGTTCCTATTAATGAGTAATTTTAATGTAGATGATGATTAAAAAGGATATTAAAAAAATCAACACACATATTTCACAAATAATTAACTAAATTATTTTATTCATCTTTAAAAACTAATTATCAAGTTTTTATATTAAATATCGAAGAAAATATGTTAGATTTCAGGTATTTTAGTTTTTAATCAAACCTTATCAAGGTGAGCTCTTTGTCAAATGAGACTAGTCAATAAATTTTTTTGGGCCAAGACTAGTCAATAATGTTGAACATTAGATATTTTGTCATTGTCTTAGTTAGGAAATCTTGCTTCTCCAAAAGTTTAAAGATGTTAATAGTATGATTTATAAAATTGCGGCTGCCCGTTTATTGCTTGATAATTATGTGTTTTTTTAAGTATTAATATTTAATATGATAATGTATGTTTAGTCAACGAATGATTTAGCTGGTGAATCATTTAACATATTGCTACAATCTTGATAATATTTTATTTCAGGGTGATAATTATACAAAAATATCAAAATTGAAATTAATTAAATTTTATAATTTGACAAGTTCAAAGTTAAGCACAGAATGGTCCGAGAAAGCTCTTTGAAGATGGCCACGAAGGGGAATCAGCATATTCTCAATTATACTTTGGGCGGTGAAGAAGGCAATGGCATCCACTTATTGGGTTTCTTTGCATTGCCTTCTCGGAAAGCAGTTTTTTTTTTTTTTTTTTAAATTTTAATGTTCAGTTTATCAACATTCAACAACTACTAATTTTAGTAGGAAAAATTAATGACAAGTACTAATAAATTTACCTGATTGTTAATTAAGCTTTTATAGTTTTTTTAATTTGACTTTTATAGTTTCCTATTGATCCCTATATTCATAATTCATTAATTATTGCCAATGGTAGTACTGGCAAAATGAAAAAGTTTTTTTGGGGAAAAAAGGGTAGCAACTTACTAATCTTTTTGTTTTTTTTTTTTCTCTCAATTTGCTATAACTCACACTCCTATCATATTGATGGAGGTGGGACTACAACCTTGGACCACTGATGTTTCTGTTTTTAATGCTTATGACGCGTAAGCAAAAAATATTGAAAAGGTATCATAATATAATACTACCTCTAATCCTAATTATAAAAGCTAGTTGACTGATTTGAGGAGATTAAGGAAAGAAGTTAAGTTAGTTATTTGTAATAAATAGGTGTTGTCTTTTCTAAAATATCCTTGTGATTAAATATATTAGCTAGAATTATCATTGTTAGAAGGACTATTTTGGAAAAAAAATACATAAATATTAGAAACAAAGTGGATTGGGGTTTTATATTTAGGATCAAAATAAAAGTCAAACGAGATTTTATATTAAGAACCAGAAGTAGTATTATATTAAGAGATATTTTATCTTCAAATCAATGATAAATTGCAACAAAAAAAAATTATTTGCATGAACCAAAATCAAATATCTCTTATGATTCTCCCTTGACTCTAGAATTTGGAATAACTCATCGTAATACCTAACATAAACCACTTTTGCATTAACTGTGCAACATTTTAAATGCAAAATAATTCCAAGTATTAATTAAAAAATAAATTGAGGGATTGAAGGATTGCTTGTAATATTTATATCATATAATGCAAAGATTATATGTAGTGCAAATTTGTTAAAGATCAATTATGTAGATAAATTTAAGCTACTAACATTTAATCTAAACGATCTAAAAAACAGAAATTGGTATAATAAAAAGAGGAGGAGAGAAGCCAAATTAAAGACTACAGATTTTGAAGTATAAAAGTAAGAGTGTTATTATAGTCTCAAAATTCCAGTGTAATCAGAGTTCTAAAAGTCACAAATATCAATACAATACAAGATTGGAGATGTGTTAGTGAATATATAAAATTTACAATCTCTCTACCTTTACACTCAACTTTTATCTATTTATTCAACCTTTTTTTCCAGATGTGCTCCTACTTTTACATTCTTGTGGCTCTGTGAACCAGAAATGGAAGACTTTTGGGTATGTTTGAACTGAATAGAATGGTTTTGGATTTGTACTAAATTTTCACACATGTTTTTCTTAATCTGTTGAACTTACATGGCTGGTGACTTGAGGCAATTTCTTTGAAGAAGCTTGGCCTTGTTCTTGTGGGCCTTTTAACAGTTTCTTATATGGCTTGAGATCTACACATACAGTCTGAGAAAATCTACAGGCCTGAAATTAACGTGCCATCATTAGGAAATAATGTTTCCTTCGGTAGCATTCAAACGGACATTAAAAGCTGTTAAAACAATTTCTTCCAGTAGGTATTTGGATTAGCTTGTTTTGAGTGATGTTACGCTGTATGAGGTAAATATGTTAAAAAGAGTTTTATCTCATAAATGACAAAAGAACTTTTTTTTAATTGATAAGGTGTAAGAATATCTTTTGCTTTGGCCAAAAAGGGGGGGGGGAGAGTATCTTCCGCGCGTTACCTGATGATTTTGTGCTTCCAGTGAAAATGGAATTTTCAGAACAGCCATAAGTATCTGTTCCTACAGAAATGCCACTATAAGAAATGTTGCTAAACCATCTTCTACCTCCTAAATCTTTTTCTCGGAAAGTGGGATCCGTACCCCATCAAGAGGAGCCTGTTCCGCTATTCTTCAGATCTTTGAGTAATTGTAGCTTCTCAATTTCTTCATCTTTTTCAGAAATGGTGTCCTTGAGAGAAGCCACCTGCCATGTCAAACAGAAAAACAATTAGACAATGCATGAAGGTTATCACTAGCAGAAGATGTACCTAAAAGGGTTAGATTACTTGGCAAGAAGAGATAGTATGTATCCCCCTTTACCAACTCAGATTCAACTTCTCTAAAATGCTCTGGGTACAGTCCCAATGAACCTCCTTAACGGTTCTGTGTGCCACTAAGATTATCCACTAAGAGGAGGAAGGAAGAAGCCATGACTGCATTAAAAGAGCAGCACGAGGCAAAATTATGACAACTCAGACTTTGGGCACATTCATAAGAAAGAGGAGGATATCTGTAAGGTCACTGTGAGAATATACTGTGATGCATCACTTAGCTATGGCTCCGCTATTGAAAACTTCTGCTAAATATGCCAACTCTATGTAAGGATATCTGAAGGTCAGCCCTAGCAGTTAGAGCATGAAGAACATCTCCTTCGCTTATCTACTTTAAACTCATGATTCCAAGTTCTTGAGATGTCCCTAAATAATGGTTGTTTTGGACTCAAGTAAGTATTGCCTCCCTTTTCTTTGAAAACAGATCAGCTTCACAAGTTTAGTTAAAGACTTCTCCAGTTATCACCAGAGATTCTAGGAATTGACTGCACTCAAAATCCAACAAGTACGCTAAATTTTGGCTTCCCTGAAGAGCAACTCTGAGATATTTGCCAAAAAATTTGTTCTGTCCTATACCTTTCATTGCATAAAAGCTCAAAAAATTGAAAAAAGAAAAGAAAAAGAAGTTAAAGCCATCTTAGCAAGATCACACTGGAAAAACCTACTAACAGGTTTTCAGCACAATTCTTAATCGGTTAGGAGTAAGCACACTGACTCTAGATGCTTCACAGTTTTAAAAGATACAACAAAATCAACTGCTATATATGAAACCAACTCAGGGGGGTCTATTTCATATCCAAAATGCTGATAAGTATGTAACAGAACCAACTTTAAGGATTTGGTAGACAAGAAAGTTAAGCACCTGCTCCATTAATTCTCTAACATCTCTGCCCTCTTTGGTACTTCGTGCAGCTCCTAACTCAACTCCGGAAACCCTCTCAGCAAATTTTAATGTGCTTAGAGTTTCTGAAGCTGAATTTACATCTGGATTGACTTGGACAAACATAAGTGTTTTTGCTTGGCCACCTGTGCAATAAAAACAAAGATGAAATTTATATATAATGAATGAGAAGCTCAGCAGAAAATCTAATCAGGGAAGTTAAAGGGATGCCGACAAATCTTGAAACACTAAGCAATGCAAAAAACTTTTTGTTAACTAGTAGCTGCTATTGACCACTTCAACTCTATAAGCTATTAGCTAAACACTTATGAATTGATTTATTAGATTAGAACCTTTAACAAATCCCATGATATAAAAAGCCTATTGGACTTGACGTGTTGACAAAGCACAGCTAACCGTACCTTGTTCTTAAACTAAAACTTTTTTCATATAATTAAGAGAATGGAAGACGAACTCTATACCACCTGGTTAAATAAGTCTTAAGAGTTAAGACCAGTAAAAAAATCATTCTAACTCAAAAGTTTAAACTTATGGATGGTTTTATTGTAATGTTATCAGTTGCAACTCAAGCCAAGTTAACCACAAGAAGATACCAAGAGAACTTTGCAGGAGTTGAGTAAGCTTGCTGTTTCTGTATGGTATATGGGCGCTCTTCTGAGAAAGGGCAGATATGACATCTCCAAGGGCAGACAGTGATTTGTTTATATGTTGTGCTTCCTTGAGCCTATCCCCAGTTACTTCGGAGCGATCGACCCTTTCACTTCCTGCCAAATCTACCAAATGAAGATTGCCAAATAGACTAGAACCAGACTTTACATCCGTCCCCCGAACATGAATGGAGACCACACTGTGCACATAGGTTTATTGAAATGAATATCATTGTATTAGAAAACTTTCCATGTTAAATGTCCAAGAAAGGAAAAATGAAGGCTTTTCTTGGTAGGCGATGCCTACACCATTATCTCCGGACCACACCCGTAAACAAATGAAAGTCAATAATAATTCTAACTCGGTGAAGCCTCCATGCAACTTCTGTGGCAAGATCATTTGTGAATGTGATCCATGTATGGCATGGTACATTGCCTACACAAGAATGCCTCAAAATCCTATGTCTAACCTGTGAGAGCGGCTGCTTCTTTCATTCATAGCGGTGGCACTGCTGGCCCTATTTTTTAGCCCAAGGTCCATTAGGTCCATCACATCTGAAGTTGATTTCACAGGGACCATGTTGGCATCTGGTACGGCTAAACCCTTGTGCTGAGAGTGATTCGATATCCCAAGTGTGTGCAAATCAAGGAAATCAAAGTCAAGGATGTAAGATACCTCATGTAAAATATCTATACAAGAGGCAATAGAGTAGAACGTAATAAAAAGGATATTTCTTCTGAGTGCCGTTAGATGATAACAAATCTCGCACTTGTTCATTATATATCTCAACAATTTGAACCCCAATCTCATAGACTATAGAACTCCTTCTGCTCTCAGAAATGCTAAAGAGGTCATTTAGAGCTCGATAATTAACACCATAAGTCTCATTTGTTGCTCCATTTGGGCCACTCTGAAAATAATTGGCAACTTATCAAATGATAACTTTAATTAGCAAGAAGTATGAAACAAAATTAATATGCAAAGAGGGTTCACACCATTGTGTAAGTTTTCCCTGAACCAGTTTGTCCATAAGCAAATATGCATACATTGTATCCATCAAGTACTGATCGTACAAAGGGTTGGATGTCAGAGTAGACTTCCACTGCATAAAAAGATTAAGAGCAGCAATATCATCATCACTATATCGACTTAATAACTTGATAAGAAGAAATAAGACTACCGAATATGCATATCTTTATAATGATGAGTATATAGAAATGAACCTTGAGTTGTGGTTGGACCGAAAACCCTATTGAATTTAAATGATCGAAGGGCATCTTTCCCTTGTTTGGCTGGATTAGCCACAACCAAATCATTTTCACCAGCATGTTCTACAATAGACTTTTTTTCCTTTTGTCCAGGAAGAAATGGTCTGACTCGGCAATAAACTCTGATGTTTCCTGTATCAGAGAAAAGAAAAGAAAAAAGTTCAAGATAACTGAACAGTGCACATACAATAATAACCTGGAAGGCAAACACATGGAATGAAACCTTTTAATTCTTGAATTTCATTAAACAGTTTTCGATTTTCAGCAAGAACAGCATGATGGTTCTCAGCTGCCTTTACAAGTGGCTGAAGACTTAGACCTGAACAAGTAAGAATTCAATGATCAGAGCCTAATACCCCAGGAAAAATGAGTGACGCTGAAAAAGAATCATAAAAAGAAGACCTACCTAACCTATTACATTCGTCAGAGTAGACCCTCTTCTCTTGCATGACATCTTGTTTGACAGATTTCCAAGACAACTTCAATTGCTGGAAGTTTGCAAATTCAGTAGAAGATTTACTATTTGACATCATAATGAGAAATTTGACGTAAGCATACGCACAAACATACCTGTACTATGCTGAATTGGAAATCCAAAGAATTATGCAGGTTGTTCTGTTTCACGTTCCACTTCTGACATTCTGACTCAAAACAGGCCTCAACCTGCTTCACCTTAGTTCTTAGATCTTTCAACAAATGTTCATATTCTTGTGACTTGTGTTCTATTTCTCCTTTAGCACCTTTGGCTTCTTTTTCCAACTGTGAGCAGCGTAATTCATATGTGCTTTTCATTGTTTCCATTTCTTGCTTCAAACTTGAAATCTCCATGTTTTTCTGGTCCTGCTCTTTCATCAACTTACTAACATCACCCTCATATGTGGATTTCATTGTTTCTATTTCTTGCTTAGCCCTTGAAATTTCCACATTTTTCTGATCTTCCTCTTCCATCAACCTATTAGCAACTTCGCCATTAGCCTTTTTCCTATCTTCCTCGTACTTGCTTTTCATTGTTTCTATTTCTTGCTTCAACCTTGAAATTTCCTTGTTCTTCTGGTCCTGCTCTTTCTTCAACTTACTAACATCACCCTCATATCTGGATTTCATTGTTTCCATTTCTTGCTTCACCCTTGAAATTTCCATATTTTTCTGATCTTGCTCTTTCATCAACCTGTTGACATCTTCCTCATTGACCTTCATCCTATCTTCTTCATATCTAGTTTCCATTGTTTCCATTTTTTGCTTCAACCTTGAAATTTCAATATTCTTTTGGTCTTGCTCTTTCATCAGCTTACTAAATCTTCCTCATATCTCGTTTTCATTGTTCCCATTTCTTGCTTCAACCTTGAAATTTCCATATTTTTCTGATCCTGCTCTTTCATCAACCTATTAATATTTTCCTCATCAGCCTTGTTATGTTCCACTCTGGTCTTCTCAATCTGTATTAAGCGGCCAAAGAGCCTATAGTAGAGATAATATGAACATAATCCAACATAAACTCTGTCTTGTCCTCTCTAAAATCTCATCAATATGCATCATTTTGTAAAGCAAGCAAACAGTACCTTCAACTGCTGAACCTGGTCCGTAGACACCTGTTAAACAAAGTTCCCTCAGATGACAGAAAATTTGCATCACAACTGAAGCTTAAGGGAATTTAAAATGCCCCCACTTACGATTTGTGTACATATACCTCACTCTCTTTCGTAGTTTCAGATGCAAGAGCTTCAAGTACTTTAATTCTCGACTGGAATTTTTCTTCACGAGCCTTAAAAAGATTGTTTTGCTGAAAGTACACGGCAAGAGAATGATATAAACAAACCGAGAATATTGCAAGTGGCTAGTTTTTGAAAGGAAATTACCTAAACGTCTTGCGTATTCTCTTGTAAAATTATGACATGTATGTGAGATTTTTTGGGGAAAAAAGACAATAATTTGCCGTTAAATTGTAAAAGACATCCACATGTTATATTTTTATCAGAAAACTCGGTAGCAAATACCCGTGAAACTATACCTAAATCAGATAGATACCTGTGCAAGTCAAGGAAAACGGGGCAACTGCCTCTGCAAATACTTGCAATAATAAAATAAGGCCAAAAGGAGAGATGAATCATGAAAGAAAACTAAGGTGAGTTGTAAACACAGCCTGAGGTAACCAATGGCTTATCAATAGTTATTCTTTAAATATCGTCTTTCGAAGTCTGTTTATGTATGCATGCATATGATTGTCTTTGGAAAAAAACAATGTAAATGACATACAGTTCGTAAATGGTCTGCCTGTGTTGCAATGCGACGTTCAATCTCTTGCACCACTTTTCTCAGCAAGCAAGCCACACGCTGAGCAACAAAGATACAGTCAGATACTAATGGAACTTTTGTTTGTTATTTGTGTTTGTGCATGAAATTTATACACGTCTATGTAATGAAAAGTTATATGAATGCATACAATATGCACTCCAAAAAATGAATTTTGAACATACAGGAGGTATTTCACCATTTCTTCTCTCAACACCTTCTTCTAGAATACCATTCACAACACTTAAAAGCGACTGAGTAGGAGCATTCTGCAACAGAAGATGCTGAAACAAATCAATGATGCATTGAACAGGAAAGAATATATATAAAGAAGGCTCACATCTGATCGTCAGAGGAAGACCATTAGAACTTACATCTAGAGCCTTTGATTTCATCATCTCTGAGATTTTTTCAGGAGGGAGATCTGCATAGCTTCCACGTTTCAGTTGAAACACATCGCGGAATTCTGATCAACTTGAAAGGGGGCTGATGAATCTGCGGAAGATAAATGGCAAGGACCCCAAATAAACTTCAAGACAAAAATATCACCAAAGTGAATCAAAAACTGTAAGGCAAGGAAATCAATACAAATGTAAAAACAGCAACACAACGAAAATCGAATGTTTTTGTGTAATCAGATCATGATAGCCGGCGAAATTTTCTTTGTTCTTTTTGAAGGATCTGTGATTCATAGGTTCCAAACCGGAGTCATGTCATTTTCTAGATTGTAGATGTCCTTGGCACAGGAGAAACATATTGTTTTATTCTTTCTCTCTCCATTTCTCTTTTACGGGTTTCTCTCCTCTGACTCTCATTGACGTACTCCAAATACACACTCATTCATGCATACCTGCCATGGCGGGGTTACTCAAAACATTTTGAATCTTCGAGTAATACGAAAGTCTCCTCTGCGCTTCAGCAGATTGCGAAGAAAAATGGACACTGCATGATGCATTTGCACGAGAGCTCTTTATTATGGAACTTTTTACAGAAGTATTATCTCCCAAAGCATCTCTGGGTTCTGCAGTGCGGCTCTCTAATGAGGAACTCATTGTTAAGATCCTGGAGGAACATGCAGCTTTATATGTCTATGGATGCATGTAGTCTTGAATACACTCCCATTGTATCACCAAAACAACTCTTAGAAGCTGAAATAAAACCATCCTCACAAATATACAAGCTAGAATCATCATATCGTGTAAAAGTTCTAAAAGCATTGCATCCATCAGTCACAAACCATCATGCTAAGACTTAGTTCAGAAGCGAAGAGAATAAACCACCAGCCATAATTCTAACGACATAGAAGCAAACAATCTAAAACCTCTCAGGCAAGAAAAAGTCACAGGTACAAGCTTTTTGTAGCAATAGTGGGGTATTTCCAAACGTCAAAATATCAAGTCTCAGGTTTGGAACAGTCTGTACTCAAATCTCATTCCTTACAATCAGATTACAACGTTCCACCACACCGAGAAGGATAAAGGATGAGAAAATAAAGGTAAAACAAGACCCGCATTAATTCATACGAGTCATTAAGAAATGACGGCTCAAATCCCATATCTTGCAATGAAGGCTCGAAGCTTGGAGTTCAAGAAAGCAACAAATTTGGGATAATATTAGCTACTGGATCAAGCTAGTAGTAGCTGCAAAATACGGAAACAACCAGAAGAGCAGCATTAAAAAAGAAAGCAAGAAAGCCAAATAATGCGAAAATTACCAATTCAAGAATGCGCAGGCAAGGGAGATAAACAATGAAGTTGAATCCAGCTTGTTACGTTGCTGATCATCTGAGAAGATTTAGGGACGAGAAAAATCCAATGGGATGGGCTGACTGTAACTGTTATATCAAATTAAATGGAAGAAGAAGAGAAATGAAATTTAATACAATTGTATTCATCCCTCCGTAAGAAGAAGAGAAAGGAACAAAGTTGGAGAATGGAAGTTAATAATAGATGGGTGGAAGATGCTGCCACGTATCGCAGACCCAAGAGCGACGATCCGTCTCCTGTGCTTGTTGGTGAGTGAAATCTTACTTCCGTTTCCGAAGGCGCCGAAATCTTTCTCAGCCTCATAATATCAACAATGTGCGTTCCTGACTTCGCAACAAGATGTACGGACGTCGCATGCATATCAGAATGTTTAAAATTCATTTCCAGCCACATTTCATGGAGTGGAGTCTACGAGCCCATGCAACGTGTTCAACTCTAGGTCTTGTGACGGAGGTCGTTTAGGGATCTGATCACAGTGCAACCGGATCCACTCAATCATAATTCAAACACTAGCTAAATAACCACTACGTGTGTTTGATATAAAATCTCATTTTACTTTTAAATTAGTCCCAGACATTAATCTACTTTATCTCTTATATTTATTTATTTTTAAAGTAGTCCTTGTAATAGTTATACATGTTAAAAGTTCTATCAAATGGTAGCTCTAGTTAATGTACATGATTAATAAAGATATTTTAGTAAAAACAACATATATTTATTACAAATAACTAACTTAACAAACCTTCTTAATCATTTAAATTAGTCGATTAGCTCTTATATTAAATATTGGAGGTTGTAATTTACAAATATTTAAGAAATTACTTACGTTAGTTATTTGAAAGAAATGAGTATTATCTTTTCTAAAATACTTTTATTAATCATGTGTATTAAAATGCAGACAAAATGAATTGATGTGTTATATTAATATAAGAGCTAGTTGATTAATTTGAACATAAAGAAAATTTGTTAAGTTAGTTATTGGTTATAAATATGTGATGTCTTTCTAGAATATCCTCGTTAATCATATAAATTAGCTAGAAATACCATTTGATGGAACATTTAATTACACCTGCAACTATTACAATGACTACTTTAAAAAAAATAGATAAATATGAAAAACAAAATGGATTGGAGTCTTATATTTAGAATCAAATTGAAAGTCAAACTAGTTTTTATATTAAAGACCGAAAATAGTATCTAAAATACAATTAAATCTCTAACCAATTTTTATATTTTGGACCAACCTCTTTCCTATGGCATTTGCTTATTCGTACGTCATGTGTTCTTTTGTCTATTAATTGGATCTGTATTATTGAAGTCCAAAATAATGGAATCCTTATTTGGGCCAGAGAAGTTGGATTGTAGCCCATATTATAACAAGCCTAGCCCAATAACAAGGCCCAAATTGAACCACCACAACTAGAAGCTTTGCCCAATATGCACTGAAATCGCAGGAAGCCAGAAACTCTAGCACAGTGACAGAAGCGCGAGAGGAGAATGGGAAGGAAGAAGGGGTATGTGGAGTTCGATCAACCGCCGCCGGATGACTTTGATCCGGCGAATCCGTACAAGGACCCGGTGGCCATGCTGGAGATGAGGGAGCATCTTGTGAGGGAGAAGTGGATCGACATTGAGAAGGCCAAGATTCTCAGAGAGAAGCTCCGATGGTGTTATCGCATCGAAGGCGTCAATCACCTCCAAAAGTGTCGCCACCTCGTCAACCAATACCTCGAAGCCACCCGTGGTGTTGGGTGGGGCAAGGACGGTCGTCACCCCTCTCTCCACGGTCCGTTCCTACATTAGCCCCTCATTTGTTTGTCTCCCCAGGAAATTCCTGATTAATGCTGATTAGTGAATGAAAATATTGTTAGAATTATCAATGATTATGTTTGAGCTTTTAGAAGGTGATATTATTTTTTCATCGTTCAAATGGCTTTTGTGATTGTTAAGCCTGCGCGAGGGAAATTATTTTACGCTACTTTGCTGAACCGGAAATGATATTTTGGAATTGTTATTTATTGCAATTAGGTGGTTTTTCCTGCCTCATTGCGTTATATCGCTTTGAATTTTGCCCCTATTGAGTATGCTTTTGGGGCGGGTAAAGTCGAGGAATTGAGAGAAAGAAAAATTAAAGCAAGCCTTTTAGCATCTTGACTATCTGCTTTTATATTGATGGTGTTTTAGCTTATTAATTTTGGCATCCTGTTTCCTAAGTTTTCTTTCTGGTGCAAGAATGATGAGAATTTGGATTTACAAAGCTTAGTCCCTTCACCCGGCTCTTTCTTGCCCCTTTGCTTTGCAACACTTACAGCTGTTTTTGTTATTTTTGGGTATGTGATTCTATCTGATTTATCTCTCTTATGTCTAATGAAAGATTAGGAAGAGAACCTAATATTGTTGGTAATAGCACCAGAAATTTTAACAGTGAGCGTATGAAATGGTTAGCTTATTCTCCGATTGACGGTTAGATCATCTGTGTGTTATAAATTTTTTTTTTTTTTTTGGCAACCATCTGGGTGTTATAATTAAATAGTGGCCTGTGTAGGTAGTTAGTATTATAGCGGGATACGTTTTTTAAACGAAACCAAAGATAATTTTATTTTCTTTTGTCGGATTGATTTTCCTGGACCTCTCTTAAGCAAATTAAATTCTCTTCATAAAAATCTGTTTATGTGGCTCGCTTGTTTTGAGTTTTGGCATGAGAAGAAGACGTTGGAAGTCTCTCCTTGCTTTTGTCTACAATTTTATGGGCATAATTTTGCTTATCTGTCCTGGTTCTTTTTTATTAATCAGGCCCAAAGGTTGAGCCAGCTGAATCTGAATGACTGTATTATGGGTAAATGAAAGGTAATTCATGCGCCACCATTTATTTCCAACACAAATATGTAACTGCATGTCTAGTTGTGTTGCTTCTTTCTTTTATTCTTTTCCTCGGAGTCGTTCTTTGCAGCTTTGTTATCACTTACCAAATTCCTCTGAACAATTCCTTTGAGAATATGACAGGGAAAAGAGAGAGGGGAAAATTGGTTGTTTTTGGTGGTGGAGGAACTGTTTCATCAAACTTTTAGATGATTGCTTTGTTAAACCTTTCATCTTTATCTGTAAATTGCTTGCAGTTAAGTGGAAATCTCATAAAGATGCTCTTTGCCTTCCTGTTGCTCCAATTAACCAATTTTACTGTCGTGCAAAATTTCTTATTCTTCATTCATCATGTGATCTTAGCAAGTTTCCTGCTGTAGAACTGAGGCATCATACTGATGACGAATCAAATTAAATCTTAAGAATAATTAATTGTAAAGTTTGATGCTGTGTTGTTATAATCAGAGTGGTATTAAACTAGTGGAGATATTGGTTCACCCGGTTTACTAGTCTGCCCATGAATGAGCAATTGATTATATATACACATATTAACAATAATAAACAAATGCTAATAAATTTTAGAAATTTCATAATTGATGAGACAAACGCATTATCTATCATGAATAGGATGCCCTATATAATGTAAAATTTTTACAATTTGGTTTCACATAGGAGCCAGCTTTGGAAGCTTGCAGTGACACGTCTCCTCTTTCCATGTACATGTTCTTCTTCGCCTAATTGAGTTTTGAGGGAAAAAAATAAGAGCTGAATCATTTCTAATAAAATTAAAACATTGAAAATAGCACCATAATGAACCTGTAAATGGCCACATCCAGACCCACCAGTTGGAGGCAACAAGGAGCCCCGAAAATAAGAAGGCTTTCTGTGAATATGTAATAAGATACCAAACCGTTCTTGGATTGAAAGTTGTGACCATCTTAGGTCAAGGTGTCCATTGAAGGGGGGGGAAAAAAAAAAAGAAGAAGGAAGAATTGGCTAGTTTTTATTTTTTGGTAGGTTGGTTTTCTCAATGAATTAAAGTCATGGTGCCATGCAATTAATGTAACCAACCTCACTTAGTTGGATAAAGTTTTGTCTTGTTATTTTTTCTTGATCAGTTGGACTAAAGCCATAGATGGATCCATGGTTTTTCTTTTCCAGATTTTTGAATTGTGGTTTAATTCTTTAGGGCAATTGTTCAAAGCAAAATTTTTGCAAAAGGAATATACAATTAAATGATGCTATAATATTCAGAAGTGAAGCAGTGTTATTTGGCATGTTGTAGAAAATGCTTAAATCAGTAAGAAACTGGTCTGATGGCATGAAAAATAAAAAAATATGTTGAACTTTGAAACAAAAGGGAATAGGAGGAAAAAGGATTTCTCTTGAATGTGGGACTGATATAATACTTGTGTCTTAGAGGAAGAAAAGAGGACTTGCATTTGAAAGGACCTTAATGGGCTGGAAGTTTCTTCAAATTGCTTGGATATTTCATATTTCCAATTCTCAAGAATACAAGTTTCTTGTTGTTATTGAGCACCTCTAACTTCAGCTGCATTGTAAGTTTGCACTCTGCAGTGTTAATCATATGGATAACACCAAGATATATAGAGTTAAAACATAAACTTTCAAAAATGTTATAATTGAGTTGATGGCTGTTGGACAAGACAAGGACTGTGTTAATACGGAAGCTGCTCATTTCTACGGAGACAGTCTCTGGTTGGATGGAATTTTTCTGATATTGATAATTTGAAAGAAATTGTAGTTTATCTAGTTCTGAAAATGGACTGTGGTTGCCAGTCAGAAAAGTAAGATAGGAACATATTTTTGAGCGCTGCCAAGAGGTCCTAATCAGTTGGTTACGCGCCCCCCCCCCCCTTCCGCCCTTCAGCACGTTATTCCACTGATGGATATCTGAAAGCGATGGCCCATTACAATTGTTTGAAGTTGATGCTGACTGATTATAGGATATAATTGGTCAGCACAGCATCTTTTGACTAGTGTTATTAGGTTAATATTTAATGCAAGATCCTTTTTCTCTTGATCAAAGACTATGCTGGCCCCAATTCTGCCAGTCAAACATAGACTGCCTTCCTTTCTTAATTCTTCAGTGCAGCTGAGACCCCGATTTCACTTTTCCCTAGTAGTAGATGGGATAAGTTGACAAAGGAAATTGCATTTGCTTCTTTAATGATGTTAACGTTTCTTCTTGTTTGAAGCCTAAACCTGTCTGCATGAGCACATATTCTGAACTATGGATTATAATCTTCGAACCGTTCTCCATGTCATTATTTGCTAGCCTGTTCTCAGACCTTATGTTATCTGTACGAATACAAATGATTTAATTATTGTTTGCAGAATGTATGTGTGTGAATAAAAATGCATTTTTGGTTCCTTTTGCAGTGAGTTTGATTAACCAACTGATCACATTTGCATAAATTGCATACCAGGTGGAGGAAGAGTGCCAAAGTCCCAGTTTACTTTTCTTCTTTTCCCTTACTCAGATTTGTGGTATATCACAGCTGTATTTGAACCATATCTTAGGTTCTCTTTGGCTGGACTACTAGTTTTTTATTGTTTGGTAGCATTCAAATGTGAAAAAATCTGGACAGGCTTTGAGAAGGATTCAAGTACATGAGGTTATGGAATAAGTTCCTTTTGGTCCTTGCAATTCTGCATGCTTCATTAATAATAACGGAGACTGTAATCTAGATTCACTCTGGTTGATTCCTTATTAGCACCTGGAAACACCACTCTCAAATTGCTTCACCAAATGTTACTATATTTGTTATGATTCCGGCTCTGTTATGCTGACTGATGAGTTATTGTGAGATAGAACACCAAATCCAATTAAATGCAGCAACGTATTATTAGTGTGTATCTTTGACTGTATTTATTCAATTTGCTAAATCTAAGAGATTGATTCGGTTCATTATTTTATGCGGAATCGAAGGATTAAATAAGTATATGCAAGAGACCGCTGAGGCCACGGATCGTTGACAAGCACTGTGTAGAGTCTTACTCTATTTCTCTGTTGGTGGTCATCACAGCTGTCAAGTGTTTTTGGGGAAGATAGGATGACGTGTCATAGAAGTTTCTTATATTTACATCTTTTAAGCAACCGAAATTTGTATGAAATAATTGCATTGAAGAAAGGTTTTTCCTTTGGACCTTGCTTAGCTGACATCTTGTATTTGAACTTGATATTGCGGCGTGCGTAATTGTATTAGATTAAAAAAAAAACAAATTTAATGCATTACGTAATGTGGAGCTTCCAGTTCGCTTCTTGGATTTATGGATTTTTAGCCTGTAATATTCAGCTAAAATTAGAACTAAAATTGACTTTAAATTTAACCCTTTTGGCATATTTTAAAATTTATTTTAAGTGCTTGAAGAATATATATATATATATATATATAAAGGAAAAATCATTTTGAAGGTGATTATATTTTTTTTTCAATTTTTTATTTGATATTTATGTGTTTTTTTAATTAAATCTTTAGTTTTGTTCTATTAATATTGTTAATCATTGTATGGAGACTAAAAATAGTAATAGAATAAAGTTACAAGAGTTAATGTTACTGAAAAAGTAAAATTAAATGACTTAATTAATAAAAAAAAATATATGTACCAAATTAAAAATTAAGAGAGTATAAATACTTTTAATATGATTTTTCCTATATATGTTATATGTATAAATGTTTCTCGGAACTTAAAAGCAAATTTTAATCATAATGTATTATTTAAAAGTATTTAATTTTTATGAAGAATATATCAATTTGTCAAGCATAGGATTCTGTTGCATATCACACATTATCTTGTTTATTTAAAACTAAATTTTATTTTATTGTTGGCCATGCCATTTGTCCATATGGCTTATGGACTGACAAACTTCTTGGGAATGTATCCTCCAGTGGAAAAATCACTCCCTTTAGAAACTTTATTAATTTATTTGACACAGAATCGCACAAGAATCCATGCAAGCATTTGAACTTGCTCCTTTTTCTTTTCCTTGATAGGAAGGTTTGAAGTTAAGCTAAGCTCTTGTGCCAGAATCAGAATTAATTATAATTCTTAAAAGATACTACCTCCGGTCCTTAATATAAAACCCCATTTGACTTTTAGTTTGGTTTTAATTATAAAACCCCAATCCATTTTGTCTCTCATATTTATGCATTTTTTTCCAAGATAGTCCTTCTAATAATGATAGTTCTAACCAACACACTTAATTAGTAAGGATATTTTAGGAATGATAACACTTATTTGTTACAAATAACTAACTTAACTTACTCCTTAATCTCCTCAAATTAGTCAACTGGGTCTTATAATTAAAACCGGAAGTAGTAGCTAATTACATAATTCCTCAATCAAGTTTTCATATCAGTGTCAGCATTTGAGCTCACAACGTTAAGATGACGACCATCATACTTATCCCTCCAGTGAGATACGCACTAATTATTCAGCATTATTTTCCATGTATGTACAGCTACATATAATATTTTAAAGTATTTTGTAATATGTCTAGTAGTTTGAAATATTTTTTGAGGTGCTAGAATATTTTTTTAATACAATTTTATCTTTGACGGTTAAAGGAGCTAAATACACCAAAAAATAATATAAATACTCAATGCATCTGAAAAAATATTTTAAGATACTCGATATATCAAAATATAATTTAAATTGTTAGATTATTTGAAAAAATATTTTATGGTACTAGATGTACTAAAATATAATTTAAAGTGTAGGACACATTTGAAAAAAAAAACTTCAAAATACTGAATACACCACGAAATATTTTAAAATACTAGATGGAATTAAATACTTATGGATGCTTAAACACCTTAGCCCAATTTTTTTTTTAAAAAAATTATATTTAAAAACTTACTACCAACAAGTAGTTGAGTCAAGCGAAAGGGATTAATCACTCACCTCATAGTAAAAAGACATATGTCCATATTTAATACCCGTCAACATCTCAAACATAATTGTCTCCAATAAAAAAAAATTGCGCCTAAAGAAAAAGATTATTTTTATTTACAACGTCACACACTAAATTTGTTTTTTTGTCTTAATGGGACCGAAGCCAGCTCCCGGGATTAGAGGGATCAATCTTTGGTTTATTTATGTTTTTGGGCCAACAGCATTTGAATTTTCTGAAACGACCTCCAGGAAGGAAACAGCCACATACCTTCCCCGCAAAAGCCTAAACTAACTCGGCACCAACTTTTAGGCGTAAGCTATTGGATACGGCGGCCACCCATGCTGTTTGCGTCACTCCTTGAATCTGCACCGTTCATCGCCTTTGAAATTCCCGCCCTCTTATCTGATTGGCTCGTCCACGGTAAGCAAGTTACCACACATTTCAGAAACAGCTGATGCTTCGTCGTACTGACACTTGTCACCATCTGAAGATTCCTTCTTTCTGGGACCCGCTCGCCCGATCCCAAGCTATACGTTTTTACGATCTCGTTCATTCTTACACACGACCTGAACATGCGCGCGACGACGGCGAGCCATCACGTGATTCTTCGTTCTTTCACTGCCATTCCTAGTCGCCGGCGTTTTCTTCATTGCTCCGGTTGCCGGAATCTAGCGTTCCGACTATGAATGGTTTATGCTTGAAGTGGTGTGTATTGACTTTTTGTGAGCAATCACGCCAGCTCACCGCTTCAGCCTCAGGCTCCTTTAACGAACCAGAATAACATCCCATACTTTCCGAGCATTTAAAGATTTAAAGTTGCTTTTCGTCTTCATTCTTTCTTTATTTTTTTCCCTGCACCTTTTTCTCTGGCTCTTGCTAGAGTGGTCGGAAACGATGTCGTTCTTAAGACGCAGAAAGGGTCCTGCGAATTCCACTCCTGATTCTGATCAAGATGGCGATAAGAGGGAGAAGGAGAACGAGAAAGAGAAAGAGAAAATTAAGAGGAAGGGAAAAGAAATCAGGAAGACAAAGAAATGGACTTGTGTTGATACTTGTTGTTGGTTCGTCGGTTTTATTTGCTCACTTTGGTGGCTTCTGCTGTTTCTGTATAATGCAATGCCGGCATCGATTCCTCAGTATGTAGCGGAGGCGATTGGAGGGCCATTGCCGGATCCACCCGGCGTGAAATTGAGGAAGGAGGGCTTGACGGTGAAGCACCCGGTGGTTTTCGTGCCTGGCATTGTGACGGGAGGATTGGAACTTTGGGAGGGTCGTCAGTGTGCGGAAGGACTGTTCAGAAAGAGAATGTGGGGTGGCTATTTCGGAGAGATATATAAGAGGTACTGGAATTTTTACGTTTATTTCTTTATCAATTCCAGAAAGCTACCGTTCCAGGTTAAATTATGAATTCGATGTCGCGCATATTAGTCTTGAAAAGCTTCAGTGGGCGGTTTGCTCAATGCGAAAAGCTATATTAATGCGTATCCTTCTTGATCTGGAAGTAAAAAGAGCCGTTCACGACAAGCGATAAATTTGTTTTGGTTTCTTTACTGACATAACAAGAATGGGAAATGTGTTTAGGGAGTAACTTCCACTGACTCAAATGAAATAATTTGTAAGAGACAAGCGACATCGGCTGACAATTTTTCTTCACTGTTCCAGAATTGGTTGTTGGTAAAACTCTGTAATATAGGGGCCTTCAAGATTTACTTGTCTTCATTGAATGATGATGGCACAAAAAACTGATTACGACCTTATGTTGTCTGTTGAGCATGTTAGTACGACGCATTACATAGGCTTTGATGATAGAATAATTGTTTTTATAACCAAAAAATAGAATAATGTTCATATTGCGACTTGTTCATCATTTGGTAGAATAAATTAAGTCCTGTCCTTCATGCCTTTGGTTGAGACTTGGGGAACTTGTGGAGATGTCCCGTTGTCATGAAAGTTTACGAGAATTTAATCAAATGTTTCAAATTTTTGATAATATCTAACATTTATCTTCCTGTGTAGATTATTGTGTATTTCTCTCGCCATTTTATACTTGTTTCAAATTCCTGTTTTTTTGTTGTTTAAGGGCACTAACACAATTTTTCTTGCTAAATTGTAATCTAATCTAATTCTTGAATTTCTGCAATCTGCAGACCATTATGCTGGGTTGAACACATGTCACTTGATAATGAGACGGGACTAGATCATCCAGGCATAAGAGTTAGGCCTGTATCTGGTCTTGTAGCAGCTGATTATTTTGCACCCGGTTATTTTGTCTGGGCTGTTCTAATAGCTAATTTAGCTCGCATTGGTTATGAGGAGAAAAGCATGTATATGGCTGCATATGATTGGAGAATCTCATTTCAGAATACAGAGGTAATTTGAGTTTAATCAGTCCTAGTTGTTGTGTCTACTTTATGGACCCGTTTCTTGTTCAAATTGCATACAAGGTTTTATCATTTTCTGTTTAACTTGACCAGGTCAGAGATCAAACTTTGAGTAGAATGAAAAGTAATATAGAACTCATGGTGGCTACAAATAATGGTAAAAAAGTGGTTGTTATTCCACACTCAATGGGTGTTCTGTACTTCCTTCATTTTATGAAATGGGTTGAAGCACCAGCACCAGTGGGTGGAGGAGGTGGATCAGATTGGTGTGCCAAGCATATAAAAGCAGTCATGAACATTGGAGGGCCGTTTCTTGGTGTTCCAAAATCAGTTGCTGGACTTTTCTCCATAGAAGGCAGGGATATAGCTCTTGCCAGGTTCTTGTTCTAACCACTTTAATGTGAATGTGAATTCTTGATCCTATATTTGCTTTTTCTAAAATAAAAAGAAATTTCAGGATAAGTAGGTTTTAAATGCTCTCAAGCAAGTATTGTCAAATTACAGGAAATGTGTGGGTAAATCTTACTTTACCTTCTGAAATGGCAATGGATTGAGGAATGAATAATATGCATGAGATG